TCCTCAGCACATGAATCACTTGGGCTTCCTGTTTCCATAAGGCATTTCCTGTCCCCCCTCCCAAAATCACTTTTCTGCAGGAGAACAGCGGGGACCTGACAAAGTATCGACTTAAATAAACAGGGCCTTCCACTGCATCCAGCCTGGCTCTGCCTGATTTTACAGCAAGGGAAAGGGACGCCAGCTCGCTGGCCGTACGCACGCACCGCGCTTTTCGGCTTTGGTGAAATGCTCGCCAACGATCTGAAGTTTCTGTTTGCCAAGCTGGCATTTTATGCACAGTCGTTATTTTAGTATTTGTCCATGAGACCTAGCGGTAAAGGTTATGTGATATTGTATGATTAGTCTTTATTTTAAAAAAAACCAAAACAAAAAACAAGTGACAGGCTATCAGATGATAATGATAACAAACAGTTCTGAGCTTTTCCTGCAATATCCTAAGAACTGACTGGAACGTAATGCTGCATTTTGCTTCTCACCAGTACTTGCATCTGCTTCATTTAAGGATGTTTCTCGGACAGTATCACGAAATAAGACAGAATGAAATATTAACTAAGGAGTGCAAAAAAAGAAAACAATGCAATTTTCAAACAGTGCCTTGCCTCTTTACATCCACCTTGTATTCCTCTCAAAATTTTACTTTATACACCAGCCTGGGACCACTGATATAGCAGTCAGTACCTGTCTACTGGGGAAAAAAATACCCTAACATTAACAGTGTTCAAGACTACAGTATGATACAGTATATACAGATAGCCGAAAGCAAAAGTCAGAGGATTCAAAGTCAGAGAAGAATGTTTCATCAATCAGGTCTGGAAACTAATTCCAGCAATTGCTGATCTCAACGAGCTAGGTGATACGAGTTCTTTTTCACTAGAACTAAGCGATGTAACGTAATCCTGGCTAATACAAAGTCTATCAGCTATGATGCAAAGATTTATGTGGAATAATTGACTGCAACAGGTATTTTCTCAATTAGTGGCCATAAGGATGAGCTTCACTATGTTTTCAAGTGTGCATACAACACTTCTGCCTTTGTTAGGTTATTTGCACAGTAAATCAGGATTTGCTAGATCAGTGAATAGAAACACAGTTGCTTATCAAAGCCTAGAAAATGCACGTGATGTTCAGATAATAACCTTAATTACAAATCCTGGAGCTAAATCTTTGCCTATTACCTGTTGCATAAAAGCAGCTTGCTCCCCAGATTCCATTTGCTGGGTTTGAACATCCTCATCACTGTCCGGCGGCTCCTCTTTGACTTTCACAGCCCCCACCTGCTGTCCTATTCTGTCATCCACACCAGCACTGCTGCTCTCAGCCCTAATGCTGGCACCGCCGGCGGGAGCTTGCTCTTCCTGCATCGAGTGATCGCCGTGAAGCTCTTCTTCAGCTTCCTCCAGGTGACTGCCAGGCTGCTTGAGCTGCTCAATGGACTTAGAGAGCATCTGGAAAGAGAAGGGAGGGGGGGAACAGCTATTGACTCCTTTCACTGATGCCAAACACTGAGAAGTAGTAGATTTGCGCCGACAAAATTAAAGCTTCTGCAGCAAAACCAGGTAGCTATGCATTGCTAAAATATTAACGTACAGGGGAAAAAAGAACTAAAGTTCCTAAGCAAAAAGCCAGTTGTTATTCTGCAGTAGAAAATGCCATGTTTGTCGAGAGTGCTACATAGTAATACTAAACTAAAAATAAGGCAGAATAATGAAAGCATTACACATCTGCTACGCTGTTACAGCTGGTAATCAAGAGGAATTAGTCTCCCTTCATACTCTTCAAACATAACTGCAGAAATTAATTTAACTATATTACAATTCATTTTCCACAACACAAAAAAATAAAAGAACTCTAAGAAATAAGAAAATTATTAATCCGGTTAATATTTTGCTACAAGCAAATTAGGGAATATTCACACAAGCTTCTCTATCAATTAAAGTATGAAGGCCCTAAAAGTTGAGAAAGGAGCAGCGACCAAGAGCTGCTGTCACCTCTCCTGGGGCACAAAGAGACTACAAGTATGTCTGTCCATGACTGGAAAGACTTTAGCTTTTGTCATGCATGGTACAGGTATCCCTGTTTCAGCCGTGATGATATAACACAGATACCCAGACAATACTGGTTTCACACCATTAACTGCTATTGTAAAGATCTGCTGAAGTACCAGATGCCTGCGTGTTGCAATCAAGTATAGTTTATGTTTTAAGATGCAGTAAATATATTCCAAAATAGCCCAAATATAATCCAAAAAGCCCAAACTGAAAAAAAAAATCGCTGCTTTGTTGAGACACAAATCATACACATGAGTAAGCATCTGCACGGTCAAGTGAGTAATTATCATTTACTCAACAGGCCCACCTGATCTCAAGCAAATATTCATTTGTATCACCCAGGTCAAATATACTGAGAGGGGAAAACCCCCCAACTTTACCATTACTTTTACATACGTCCCTCTTCCCATCTGCCCTCCTCTCTCCCCCCAACTCTCAGCTCTTCAAATCGAGTTGTAGCTAGTGCTATATGCTGAGCTACTGGATGGCTTCAGTATACCCATCCTGTCACAAACCATGGATGGTCTAGTTTCATTCTGCTTGCTAATGCATATAGAAAAATGCCACCCTAGTGAAGGGCACGTTTGTCATGTAATCAAGAAGCTACAGCTGGATTCAGGAACTCCCAAAAAGTCAACAAGAGGAGTTGAAAGATCTGTTAGTGGAGTTCCAGTTGATGCTCTGATGTGTAAGCGCCACAGCAGTGGAGAAATAAATTCCACAGTGGAAGTCTACAGGCTTCGGTCACAGCAAACCTTAATTTTCGGGGTGTAATGGGAGTTTAATGGCTTACTAAAAAAGAAACAAACAAACAAAAAAATCCCATTTCATTACTGTAGTAACTGGCAAATCACAACACATGTATCCTGTATGCTGCAGGTGGCATGCTCTAAGCTGGGGAATCCTTACTACTGCAACTAATGCAGAGTGTCTCCATTTATTAAGTAGCATCTGGAAAATCTCTCAGATCAAACCCATAAATCTTTTCCAGTTGTTTCTCAGGGGATGACGCTGACCAGGAAAGCACTGAAGCTAAGTACGTGTGTTCAGCTCGGGTACACTCCTCTCTGTCGCTCAGTTAAACATCTGTGGGCGAGCCCTCTCCGCTCCTCAAGCAGGGAAAGAAAGGCAGGTCTGGCTGCTTGGCTGGCGGCTAGCAAACAAATGCAAGCTGAAACATCTGTGTGACAGATAATCATATACAGCTATGAGAGTCATGATGCTGATCCATCTGTAAACCATTCCATGTGCCAGTTACTTGACATCAGGTGGGTTATTCTGGAGGGAAAGCCAAGAGAAAATGAGTGCATGTCCGCAGCAAAGTTAAGACACATATTTAGCTCATTACTGCTCTCCTTTCTTTTATGCTTTTTCACTTTTATGTCAGGCTCTTTCTTCTTCACGCTGCTGTATGGCACAGATCTGCTGCTGAGCTTTTTGAGGCAACACATGATGGCCTGCAGTATATAATCTATACGTGGAACACCTTCAAACGCTTTTTGCATGTAATCAATCAGTGGAGTGACACAAGCACACGTAAGGGGGCTGCAGAGACTAGAGTGGTATTTGTGTGCAGCATTTCAGTCTCCAGTGTTCCTCTTCTGGGGCCCGCTCCCACACCATGGAAGTCAGCAGGCGATTTGCTCTAGACTTTGGCAACAGGAGGAGCTAAACAAATTAAATTTTCTAAAACTCTGTGAAATGAAAGTCTTTCTATATTCACACAGTAGATTTTACAAAGTGCATTCATATTATCATCGTTACTGCAAAATCTTTTTTAAAACAATCCTTTACGTTGTGAGTTTAAGCCTCGGGCAAGGGGCTATGAGGCACTATAGTCATGTTCTCTCGTATGATAGAGCATGATAAAAACGGGTGGATGGCTTGCGGGGGGGAGGCAAAAGCCAAAACCCACTCCTGCCGCTCAGTCTGCTAAGCCACAGCTGACTCATTTCTCCGTATCACCACCATGCTTTCATATTTGTTAAAGTGGTTTTTAAAGGCAGCTTGGCCCCATCTTATTCCAGTAATTACATTAGTAGCATTACCAGGAGACTATTCAGTTCTCCTAAGTCAGAAACATCTTATTTTGTACTATACCTCCTGGTACTACCGTGGAAAATTACATATCTGGAGACATGCAAAGATATCAGTTTAGAGTCAATATTTCTGTCTTATCTCTCTATCTAAAGCTGGATTACATAGCAGAAAATGAGTCCTGAATGAAACACTGCTCAAGTCCTTTCACTGTGCAGCTGGGTACTTCTGCTTACACTTAATGTTTAAATCTTTTACTTTAAATCCCCACTTACCATTTTTTCTGAATTTATCTGTAAGTACAAGCAGGACATTCTCCTCATTTTAATGCATATTTTTGATTTTGAAAAAGTGATTGTTCAATATGAGTTTTGATAAGACTACATTTTAAAATAATAATAAAACCATGGTTTATTTCACTAATAAATTAGAGTTGTACAGATTGGTCATCTTTAAGAAATACACATTACTGTTATTGGTATTTCAACTAAAGGAGTCACTCAAAAAAATGGTTTCATGCTAATGTAACCTATATTTTTTTCCCTTTTATTTTCAGGAAATTAAACTGTAAGGGATATGCATGAGCCAAAGTAAATAGTGGCAGCAGGAGAGGAAGCATTTACAGACATCAACTCCATTGTATAACTGCAAGAGTCCAACTGAAAAAGACATCAAACACAATCTAACCTGCTTGCTTCTACAGAAAAATGGAAGGCTAAGTATAAATAAGCTGGACATTGCAACAAACCATTCGATAAGTCCTTCAGTCACAGCTCCTACCTTTGTTTCTCCTTTGCAATGATAAGCTCTTTTAAAATACAATATTTAAAATAAAATGTCTTTACAAAAAGAGAAAGCACAAAATCCTGCAACAGCCACCCCACACATTTCTTCCCTTAATTGCTCGTTAATTGTTCATACATGGTGGTTGTTTCTAAGAACTCATGTATTTACTTACGGAACACACTTTTTCTCCTTCTCTCCTATGGCTGTTAAGATTACTTTCACCAGCCATGTATGTTGTTAGGTGTACTGAAACAACTTGGTACCTGCTTACTGTTGCCTCTATTACTCATGTAGTACAATGTTTCTAAGGGATGTATTTATCTTTCAAAATCATTCTTCTGCATTGTGGCTTAAACATTAGTTCTCAGTAGAGGAGAAAATGCTCTGGGCATTTTTCAGTTCCACACACAGGCAACTGTTGCTGTAGTTTTGGTCAAACGATCCCCTGCTATAAGCAATATTTGAAAGAAGAAATGTGCTACCTCTCACCTTCAAAAGATGCTAGTCAGATGTGTAAGCTGGAAAGCCAAAACCTCAGTTGTAATATGTTTAATGAAACTAGATTCATTTACTCCAGCTGAATCTGATCCAGTCTTCTGTATTTCATTAAATATCACTCAGATGTAAATGATTAAACTGGGGTTAACTGTATCTTTTCAATATTCCTATTGACAACAAATAATCTTCCTATTATTTCCATCAATAAATCAACAGAAACTTCCATATGATTTTTCATTTTTTATTAGCAGATATTGGTCAGTTATGATCACCAGCCAAAGCACTAATGAATTTTCACTTCTGATATATTTTTGTCATGGATTTTTTACCTCTCAGTCTTGCTCAGTCACTGGTTCCCTATCCAAAGATGCTTTAAACAGACTAACATCCTGGAATGAAAACAGAAATTCATGTACTCCTTACCTAAGCTTTAATATTATCCATACTGTTCCTATACTTTAGTGCACACCACCAACTGCCCCATTATTTTAACCTTTACTACTCTAATACAGAGGAGGATTTTACCATTGAAAACAAATTGTCAAAATGCTATGAACAGATTATTTTAAGAACACATGTAGGGTTCTCATACTGATCAAATGAAACCTTGGTCCCAGTGAAGACAGTGCTAGTTTAGCTTCAGCAGAGGCAGGCCTTTATTCATCATCCGTGACAAAAATAACCTTTAAAGACAGAGGGCTTTGTTCATGTACTCTTCACATTATGATTTCTGAGATTTTCTTTAATGCAGACTACTGCTAGAGGCTTTGCGCTTACATGAGTTACATCAAAATCACCCCTTTTTCTGCAAGCGGCAGGGTCAAAGCTTTCTAGATACAGTAATACACAAATAACATCAAGATTTTAAGGTGAGCTTTTTTTTGTAGGAGTCGTCTTTTGGTAGGTGATTGAAATAATTTTAACTGGGGGTTTCAGACTCTGGACTCCCTTTATTGAGCAGAATGAAGATCTGCAATGGTGATCAAAGGGCCTTGTGAGGAAATAAACTGTCATTCGGACAGAAGTATATTAAAGCTGACAACAGCAAAGCCGATCTTCCCTAAGACAAGCGGAGTTCGGGTTACTGCACATTCATTATTATTTTTTCCCCAGAAAGCTGGGATGAGGGTTTCTAACTACTTTTGAATGGGAAGTCAACATTTGCAGAATGTTTTCAGAAGGTCAGCATACTAGATCCCGCAGGTATAAATGTCAGACTTCAGTGGAGATGTATACCGTTTCCCACATCAAAAGACTGGCATCTGACAGCTGACCAGAAATAATCCATAGGGGATCTTCTCTTTGTTATTAAGGACAGAGGCACACCTCTTGGCAATGATTTGTTTCTTTTCAGAATGGAAATGATCCAGGGGAATTCTTTACCTCTGACCTATGTTAGATTTTGCTTGTTATCACCCTCACAGCAGCACTGGCTTGCAGCTGAAGTATATTCTTTTCTCAAAGAAAAGAAATGGCTTTTTAATACAAGATAAATACAAGATCAATGGGGTGGGGAGGAACTTGCTCTCTTCCTCTTTTTTTTGCTACAAGATTCACCTGTATGTTCACCAAAAAGATCTGACCAAAAACATTTTTCAGGGAGTGCTGACACATGCCATAGCATCTTAGTGTAGGTGAAACATTCAAATACTGGGTTCAGTTGAAATATATTAAAGCTTTAAGTACTTCAAATCCTAAACATAAGGAAAAAAAAAAAGAATGAGCAATGGAAAAGAAAAAGAAGGTATTAACTTGTTCTAAGGTCTTGATCAACTAGCATTTCATAGTCTTATCAGCTTAAAATGGTTCTGTTTTTTCTCACCAAAACTTTTAAGAGAATGTTTAAGTATTCGTTATTAAAAAAACACATCCTACATTTTACATGACTGAAAAGGAGGGAATTACACCTCTGCAGATTTAATTATACGGCCTATGAACAGAAGAGTAAGGGACAGAAGAATGGAAAATAACAAATGTATTCACTTGATACATGCCCAAACTTGTCCTAAGAAATAAGAATATATTGGGTTGCTTTGCTACATGGTCTAGAATATCTACTGGTTTAAGGTTCAAATGACTCTGCTTTGCAGTTTCAGTTTGATTGTAAAGCCATGCAAATTATATAATGAACAAATAACTTCAACTGCAAATAGAGGCAAGTTTTAAGAATAAACAAAGTACATTCCACCATGCTAGCAGAGTTCAAAAACCTTATGTAGGCACAGGTGTTCAATCTAAACCTTTAAGGTAAAGGGTTAAAGAATGCAGTTTTAAATTCAGTATTTAAAGGCCACTCCCTGATTTGATCTTTTCTCATTCTCTTGCCTATGAGCTGCCCTTAAACTCCAGTTTTTAAAAATCAGGTTTCTTAAGTATGTAAGAAAGCCCCTGGCTTTCTGTATATTTGCAGAGGATTGATACACGATTAGAGCACTGACATTTTTCAGTACTGTTCATCAGAACGGTTCTCTGAATGGTGCTTTAGAAGAACCTAGATGCTGCAAAGTCTGGTAAACCACTCGCATCCTCAGATAACACACTGCTGCTGTGCCTGCAGCACAGCCCTATTCCTCCTTAACTGTTTGCTGCTCTAATGAATCACTGTGCTCCTGACGAAGGCTAGCCGCTCTGGGAGTAGGTACAAAGGAGACTGAGAAGCTATTTGGGCATAGGAAACAGGTTATGGAGGTTCAAGGCAGTGAAAGGCTCTAGGATAAACTTAAATTTCTACTGTCTGCTTATGTGTATAGCCTATACAGTAGATAATAAAAGCTAGGTTCACTAGATTTTAAAAGAAGGAATTGTTTTGTCTCTTTATCACAAATAACTATGTGAGAATGAAAGCATATTTCAAGTATGAGAGGGACTTATTCTATTTAACATATATTTTCATTGCAGTTTAACTGAGAAAAAAAAAAAAGTTACTGAAACAAGCATTATGCCAAACCAGCTGCAGTCTTTTTACTTCCTTATCCAGCCTAGTTCTTGTGAGGTGCAATGCATTCCTAGTCCTATGTGACTAGGAATACGTTTATGTGATTCAAGTTTAATTTTCACATTCAGGACAAACGTACCTATATGCTACAGCACATATCCCTAAATGCTATGGTAGAATTTCTGTTAAGCATGTGATCTAACAAAAACATGTCAGTGGGGTTCTATGCTTTGTGAGGAATGCATGAACTGATCGGTTTGTAGTGAATACCCACAAACAGCACAAAGACTCAGTACTTCACCGGTAAAAATCCTTTTCTCCTCAGACAATTGAGGGCAGGTGAAATATTTTCAAAACCTGAGGCTACGAGATATACATATGCCATCTTTATTAAACATATGGAATGCATACTCAAAGAAAAGCCAACTGGAGTCCTAGTTGAGTAATCAAAACACCCAAGCTGAGAGGGGTTAACATGCAAGGATCAGCTCTGAACTTTGAAGTTTTCTGGTCTTCATTTTTCCTAATTAAGACAAGATTTAATAACCAAACCACTGTACAAACTATGTACTTAAACTCTAGGTTTGTTTCTAATTTTGTTGGGAATTCTTAGTAGATTCCGAAGAATCAGTACCCCCTGAGAAGTTCAGCCAGTAAGGTGGGTTGATTTTTTTTTTCTTTTTTCTTTTCTCTTAGGTATAAGGGCTGAATCCCCGCTTTTCATCTTTGCCATTGCCTCTTATATATAGTTATTAAGTAACCCTCAAACAAAAGAAGACAACTAAAGATGCATGATTAATATCTTTGGAAAACTGCATAGTAAGCGCAGAAAAACATTCTCCAGATAAAAGCATTTAATTACTTGCATATCTTCACTTTAGAGCAGGGAACAGCATCACATTTATTGTAGAAGCATTAGCTCCTGATAAATCTACTTAGATTCTGCTGCTCTTTGTTTACTAATGGATGGTCCGGTCCCTTTTCTTCTTTCTCCTCCCTCAGAATAAGGTAGAGGGGCACAATTCAACTCTGTATGTGATGTTAGCAATAGCACATTCTTCTCTTTCTCCTTATACGGTAATTTTATATCGCCATATAGATAATGAACTTTCATGTTACTAATTGACTTACAAAGAAAAAGTCGGTTTGATAAAAGCCAATACAAAAATTATCCAGATGTTTAGTAAGTTTCTTACACAAAAAAGATAAATTAAATCAGCTGATTGAGTTTATATTTACTCCACATACTAGTCCACAATGAAAAAGCTTAAAATACAATTCAAAGGCAGCTGAATAGAATGACTGCTGAAGCTCAAAAGTGCACATCAAAAAGTTGGACAGAAATCTAGTCATCGTTAAGGCATCATTTACTGTTCAAGAGGAAACCACCTGTAATTTAAACCTGTAAGATGTTTTCAATGCTATTTTGTTGAACTGTACTCTCACTGATGTCAAGAATCACAAATTACCTTTGCAGTATATTTCAGAAAGCTGAAAATGAAGATCTATAGAAATGTATACACCAACTATACATAAACAAGATACTTGTGCAAGAACCTGTCTACTGTCCATGCTCACATGGCACCAATACCCAAACTTCCTTATTAGTTTTCAACCGTTACGTTTATTGGAAATTCCTTACTTTGGGAACTCACCTTATTCATGTGGATCTGCTGCTGGTACTGTTTCTGCTTCTCCAAAAATTGTTGATGTTGCTGCTGGATGACCAGCTGGGCCAAAGTACTCTGAGGAAGAGGAGCTGACTGGGTTCGATTCAGTGGCCTGTGACGAGGCAGTTTGTGGGCAGCTCTTATGCCAGGTGAGACTCTCTCCTTTGCTGCTAAAGGAGACTGTGGATGAAGAGGAACCGCTCCTGCAAAACAGGGACATTTCACTCCCGTGTAAAGAACAACAAACTAACATTTCTAAGAGGAGAGAAAGCTTTCAGCAAGAAGAGGGGTGTATATTGCAGAACTTTGCATTAGTGCTGATGCAGTGGGACGTGTACCACGTGCCTTGCCATGCTGGGAAGTTCAGCAGCTGCAAAAGAATGTGATGAAGTAATCATTTTCTCTTTTCTGTAATCACTGAATTCTTTCAGGCTAACAGACTGGAGCAGAATCACTAAAGGGGAAAAACAAAGGTGCTATCCTTTTTTCTCCCACCCTTCCACTCTTCCCAATAGTTAGGACGTATAGTATCTGTATTACCACATTTAATGTGAATATAAATGTCATGAAAAACATCTTAAATTATTATTGTGTTGAAGCCTTGATCATTACCAGTCACAAGAAGTTTTTGCTGTCTCATTTGTTCTTTCAGTAACAGATGCTGCAGGAGAGCCTGGTGGCTGCTATTTGGCTTTCCCTCCAAAGCAACGTGAGGATGAGTTGAGGACGGAGGAATGCTCCCCCCATATTGTCCAGCCAAGGCCACTCCTTGTCTGAGCGACTGGGTCTCCCCCTTCTGCTTTTCTTTGAATGACGATGAAGCCTGTCAAAGAACAACGGCACTGGTAACTGCTTTTCATAGACCTGGCCATTTATATCTCTGCTTGATTAAATGGTCTTATGTCATACTTTATGAACACATACAGAAAAAAAGGTTAACATCCCTGTCTTACACTTTGTGAGATGTAAAGGGAGGAAGAACATGCCAGTTAAATGTAACACTGCGAGAAGCTGAGTAATGAAACCACTTGAAAAAAATCAGTAATAAAAGCCAAAGCATAAGGAACTACTAGTTAGACCATTATTAATGAAAAGACAAAACCTATCCTTTAAATTCCTAAAGACCTTCCCACAGCCTCCTGCACAGGAAAACAGGGGATCAGAGGAAATAGTTTCCATTGAGTTTGGAATAGGCAAGGTTGGTTTTTCACATAACTTTCCATCAGACAGCAAGCCAATCAGCAAAACAAAATAATTACCTGTAGTAGTGGGAAGCTATTACTTTTCCTGGAGCACTCCCTGACTCCCTGAAGGACAGCACAAATGTAAGTTTTACCCTTTGCAAAGTAAATTTGTATAGTTAAACTCTTATCTACAGAATCATCAAGAGCTGTTGAACGTGTGTGGCATTTTAAAGTGCCCCTATAAATTGCACAGTTATTGATTTAAAGCTTTTGGAAGTTTTGGTCCTTCAGCATTGCAAATGTACTTTATATTTCTTTGTTCTTTGTCTAGTTTTAAAAATATTATTTCTTTAAAGAGCAGTTACAGCAGAATAACAATTTTTACAGCAAGAATAATAACCTAACAAAATGAAGCATGTTGAGGCTTGCAGATAATCACTTATAGTATCTCATGGTGAAAACAGTATCTCTGATAATCTAAATTCCATAAATTCTAATGAGGCAAACCAAGGTTTTCATTAATAATTTTTTGGGTGTATGTTTACTTCACACTCTGCTATCACCCCTCCCTGAAAAACAAACACCAAAGTAAACTTTACATTCAATTTGCAACTGCTTATTCTGGTAACAGAAATAAACATTACTTGCATAAATTCACCTCTCTGTTTTTTCTAACGCCAAAAGTAATATCCAGTGCCAGCTGGCCACATCAAAAGCTCCTACGATTTGAGTGAGAAAATTAAACATATTTTCATTTCCATTTTAGTGTTATAAAATTACTTGGAAGCTAGTTATATTTTTTTGTGAAATAGCTAAGAAATTTTTGATCATATCAGCTGGAAAAGTAAGCACTACTTTTCATGATCAGTTAAATTTTTCCATCCCTTAAAAACAATAATTTGCTTATAAATATCTCATGAAAGGCTCCTAGAGAACTGATTTAAAGCTTACACATTTTTCTTTGCAATGTTCTATATCTGATGTTAAAATGCTGGATAGCAGCAATATATTATTGGTGTGAACAGTAAATGCACTGAAAAAGCTATAAAATAACATGAAACTTTTACTTGAAACTACATTTAGCACTGGAATTAAGTAGCACTTATTGCAAACCATAGTGGATTGTATATAGTGGTTTTGTGGGTTTTTTTTTACACCATGGAAAGCTGTACTTACACCCCTAGTATTTTTATAGAAGTTACCAATTCACGTTCTAAGAAATTTAAACTGCTAAAATTTCTTCAGAATTTATACATTGTCATATAGAATCACCCTATAACTTATAGGGTGATTTTACATTTTTTGCTGAAAATCCAAAAAGGTAAGTTCTGACCAGTGGCAAAATTTTCAGGTATTTTACTAAGCCTCAGATTTCACCTCTAGGTTACTGTAACTTGGTCTAGATCTAAAGATCCTTTTCCATCAGGATGGATTTCCATACATACCATGTCTGTGTTTTCGAAGATTTCACATACTAATTCAACATTTAGTTCTAAGTAAAGGTGATAGCTGCAGACTGAACAAAGGGCATATGAATATAACTTGTCATTAAAATATTAAGCGTTGTTCACGTATCACTGATTTTATACCTCTGATTGATAGTACGCCCCTCAAATAACAAACCTAGCTGCAGGAATACTAGATTCTTCCCCTACTATGTTCCAGCTCAGATTAGGTTGCTACTGGAATCTCATAAAAAGTTACAGGTGCTGTACTTTACCAGGTAGCGGTGATCATATAATTTGAATTTTTATACTAAATGATCTCCTCATATACTTCCCACCATGTCTGAAATCTGTTATCTGATTTGCAGACATAAATGCAATGCATGTGGCCCATACATAGCTAAGCTCCACACTGGCAATTGTTTATTTGCAATTAAGAATGATTATTGCTTTCAAGTTGTGCCCTTAAATGTTCAGATGTTGCCCAATGCAAAGAAAGGTCTGGTTCCTACTCTGAATTGCTTACATTCCAAAATGCTAAAAAAAGAGAACGGTCAGAAAGTAGGTTTTCTGGAGGCAAAAGTAGACAGGAAGATTTGAGACTGGTCACTTACACTGATTTGAGGTTGTACTGCTGGAAGTCCCAAGGTAATGTTGGGTAGAGAAGGGGATGTGTACAGACTCAACAAGTTCACTGATTCATCCTGTATCAAAAGGCGTTGCTGTGAAACCAGATGCTGGAATAGAGAGAAATAACACAAGTTTAATCTCTGAGCTTTTTATCTTGGTTATTTTATCCTCATTATCCTGCTACACTGAAAGCCAGTTATGTATCATGCATTGGTTTGCATCCCAGTGGGGTTCCAGATAAGAAAAGGTACTGTCCCTGTGAAAAAGCTGTTGATATTTCGTAAGAAAACAACTGATATATGTCTGGGATTATTCCTTGGTTAGTAAATCAAATTTCCATGCAAAACCAAAATCTTGAGGATTCCTAGACCGTCTCTTCTCATCAATTTCTCATCAGCTCAACATCATTTCTTACCATCAATTGCACTTTCACTACTAGAAACTCAGTGGGAATTGCAGCCAGTGAATTAAGGAGTATATCAAAGGTGTCATAAAAGTGGATGTACTAGACATTTACTTTACCATGGTGTTATATTTTTTCTTGTAAGGTATGAAATGTGGTTTCTACCATGTATTTTCTTACCCAGATTGTGATATGGGGATGTTTCAGGCACATTATTTACCTCCATTGACATGGGAATTTTCGGCAGAAAGTGAGGCAAATTGCCATATCTGCCATTTAAATAAATGTACTGTCTCTCTCTCCATATGCATATATAGAAAACCAGCATCCTGTCATTCGCTGATGGTGGGATACCCCTCACAGCCTTCCTAATTCCCTTCAAGTTACAATCTATAACACTTCTTTTGAAGCCTTGTGACATAATTTTCAAGGACATGGAATTGCTGATATATTTTTAATTACTGTCAAGTAAAACCAGACATTCTACAAAGATCACCCTCTGCCTTTCCATTCTAGATTTATTGGGAAGAAACATTAAAAGTTGCATTACCACAACAGGAATCTTTCTGAAGCCTTTGCCTTTCTGCTTTAACAGTGATGTTTTTCAACATGTGGTCTAGTATAGTTGCTTGAATTACATTTTCTGTTTAACTCTTGCTTCCCTCCCAGAACTTTAACACAATAAGAGCTACAAAGGTCTTATTAGACTTAGGAACTCTGGCATGATATGGTCCCCAAGGGAACAACATCCTTGAAAAAGAATACCCTGTGTAACAGTATGACACAGTGACTGCTTTCTTCCCAAACAAAAAGCATATGGGACTCCAATAATAGACCACCTCCAAGAGGGATACTGCACACTCGGGCTTTGACTAAAGTAAATATAATAACTTGTCAAGCATGTTGTGGGGAGCTGTAGATTTTCCCCTGGACAAACCTGGAATATCAATTAACTCTGCAAAATACTTTGTGCTAATACAATGCAACTTCAGACCATCAATGAAAAGTGGTTAAGCACAAAAACACAGGATGTTATTCCAAAACATAACCTTCCTCATACAGTTTGTTTGGAGATACGACCTATCACTGAGACAATAACAGTAGAAGTCTATCTCTGTCATTTTCTTTTGGTACCCAGGGAATGTCAACAGATAGCATACAAAACAAAGAAGCTTCACTTGTATATTACACTAATTCCTGGCTAACAGTGTCTTGCCTTGATAACATCCACCTTTGACCATGAATAAAATCAAGTACGTCAAGACTATGGAGATAATATTGAGGGAGACTACAAAGATTTAACTGAAAAAGGACACTGCAGGAGCTCTAATGTGCTTCCTACAATATAATCAAATTTGTAGCAACTGCAGCATCTATACAGAACCACTTCAGAAATGCACCTTTTCTTTTTGGGTTTCAGTATGCCACTATTACCTTCTAAGATTTGAATTAACAAACATAACAGTGACAAGGTGTATAGACACAGAAAGTGTGTGTAAAGGACATCCCCGCATTAACGTCAGGCATGCTTGTTTCATGAGGCAGAATCAATCCCGTTATGTACTGTGGGAGTTTAATGTTGAAAACAGGAATTTGTTAGTAAGAGCATTTCCATCCAATTTTGAATACTGCTAATAATCAGTAATTTTCATTTGGGGAGGTAACTGATTTTTAAAAATATTTTCAGGTAATATTAGCCAAAGAGTCAGTAAACCTCATTTCCCCGACTAAGTTTAGTAGCCCACGTGCATAGATTGGGGTCCTGCATATGCTGAGGCACCACTGCGTGACCCCAGCCGCAGCTTCTCTTTTTACACGGTTGTCAATGCCTTGAAATGGTGGCACAAACTGGAGTTGCCAGCTGTGTCATTTGGCAGCACAATGGCTAAGCCATGGTCCTCCTTCTACATGCAGAGCTGATAGTTTGGATTGACACCTAGACTACCCCAAAGAGCAACTGTCCTACTTGCTCCTCTATGTACTTACTCACTGGGTCCATGGATCCCGCTTCCTGGCGCTTAAAATATCCTGTCAACAGAGTTACCCTCTTTCTTAAACTAGAGTACAATAACTAAACGTAACAGTACATGACGATCACCAAGTAACCATGACTAGTTATAGCACTTCTGTTTTGGTACCAGGACCCGCTGCGAAGCAGGAATACCTGTTTCACGTGTGCATGTTTATATGCACGTTTACACGCTACGAGGGGAAGAGGACGTGGTTTGGCTTTAATGCTTCTAAATTGTGGAAGCTTGGACTACCTAACTACAGTTAGGTAGTCCAAGCTTTGAATACTCACAATTTCATTCTTATTTCTTAAGGCATTTGGGGTGGGGTTTTTTTTGCTAATTAATTAGACTCTTTTCACAGACAGTTGAAGCAAACTTCACTGGCTGGTCAGAAACCTACACATTTTCCCACTAGCCACTTGCAAAGAAGAAACACTCAAGAAACTGAGTGTTAGAGACGTAGTGCTGTGGGGTTACACAAAGCAAGTATGCATTTCTCTGCTGTGCATGTCATTTATGGCACCTGTATAATTGGGTGATATTCTAGGACATGCTGCTCTGCAAAGCACAAATGAAAGAAAATGATCTGAAGCCCGCTTACAGCATTTGGAAACTTTCCATTGTGTTCAATGGCTTTTGCCCAGGCCGTGAATGCCTAATATTCATCATTGCACATGACTAAGGCAGTTGTCCCTCTGAACTCAAGGGACGTGCTGTGCAGCGGCTCAATCCTGCTTGCATTTCTCATGCAAGTAAGATTTAGCCCCAGCACAGCAGGTGACCTGAAAGTGTACAGCATGCTACAAGAGACAAATAGCTACTGCGGTGAACCTTGATGATACTGGAGACAACTGGGCCTAATAAAAACAGTATTTTATTTATAAGGTGCAATTAAAATCCTGAGTTTAACTTTCAAGTTTCATATAATGAGACCAGTGTTTTAAGAAATGGTACTGAAAGTACCATTAAGGGAACTGTGATAGTAAAAGATTATCTGCAAAAATGTAGCATTTGCAGTGCACCTTTATTCATTCAAAAAAATGTAAATATCTACCCACCAGACTGTCTGCTCCGGAGAGTAAATCACTTAAAAGTCTCGCTATTCAAATGGGTAAGGCAAAAATACTCTAAAAATCTGTTTCATTACTGATAATGCTCTAATTCTGTCTATGCACTAGAGTATAATCATTTACGGTATTGACTCATGTTTTACTGGTAAATGGCTCTCTGTCATAGCAACCTGTTTTCCCCCAGCAAAAAGTGTTTTATTTGCTGCCATGAAAACCGCGGCTATCCACCCACTCAAATATGAGCACAACACTTACTGCAAATGTCACAACAACGATTATGAAACAACAGCAATGTGAGTCATGCGGGATTACAGCAAAACAAGTGATATTTTGGGTGATTTTGGAACACTTATCCTATTATTAGAAACTTCTGTACTTCGTGTATCTGATGAAAAATTGATTAGATATATAGCCTTTGAGAGCTGGAAGCTAATGCTAAACTAGAAAAGAGATACGGAGCAGTTTGGCTGCTGTTAAACTACCAAAGAAAATCCCAGTGAAATCATAATGCCCACAGGACCCAGTATTAACAGTCAAGTAACCAGAGAGGTAAAGAAATCCCCAATTGGATCCAGAAATTGAAGTCAGTACTTTCAGCTTCTTAGCACACTTCCAGCGAGCTAAGTGACCGACTCCAGCACGCAGAATCCAACTTGTAAAGGAACTTTTTAAGCTCATTCGAACATCTGAGACTATATGCTGGGGCTATAACTTCTGATGTCTGACACAGCGATGGCAAATGATATGCAATGTGGTGTTCTACTAAGAAACAGAATATAACTCTGCTGGTTGTTGCTACAACCTTTCCAAATCTCCCCAAACAGATACTGCAAGCCTGACCAGATGGTACATATGTCTGATGGTGGTTCAGCACTGTGGGCAAATGTCCAGAAACTGTAATCTGCAAAGTAACAAGCACCATATATCAGTCTAAGACATTATTCCCTTTGCATTTTGTAGTATCCTCAAGCCAATAAAAGATCTAATTGGACAAGATTTCCAGTTTAATACAGCACTAAACCCCACATATTACAAACTTCTATCTAAAACATTCCCAAGATTAAAATACACCATTTAATTCCACTGAACTAGGATCTGATCTAGTCCAAATGATGGATCTTACTCTGCATCATTTACCTTGCTTTGCAATAACATACAGGGGGGCTATGAGGGAAGACCACATGTTAGCCATCAATGCAATTTTTTTTTCTTTTTGGTTACGGGCCAGAGAGAGGCTACTAATCAGTGTGCAGAGGTCACCCACCTGCCCCCTGGATCATAGTTCACACACACAATTAATTCATTATGGGGAAAAGTCACTGCTGGAGGTTGAACTGCCCATTCCAGGTTTTTTTGAGGTGAATGTCCTGCCACTGACCTGGAGAAATAGCTCCATTAGCTAAAACTCTGTTAAATCACATTTTCTTATGCAATTTTTCTAACATAAACAGTATAAACCAACAACTAATAGAAAACCTTGCCACCAAAGTAGGAATTGCTGTAAGTATAGGCACTGGATACAGAATATTGTGGAATTTGGTTCTCTCTTAGTTGCATTAATTTATCGTCCCTTTACAATATTGCCACAGAAAGCATGACTTAGGCATGTCACCTATGCTAAATGAGGTTCATCACAACTGATTTACCATCTGCATTCCTGTTGTAATAGGCACGTACATGTGAAACAGAATAAGGAGTAGTTAAGTTTCCTTCTGTGTACAATCTCACTTTACAAAACAAGTATCCAAGATTCCTGGCAAGTCAGTTATGTTTCTAACTACTGCCCTGATAAGGAAACCAAGGTACAGTAAAATAAATGGCAGATGTGAAAAAGGATTTAGTCACCTAACTTCAATACTGTAATTAAAAAAATCTACTTCTGCAGCCATATGAACCTGGGACCACCTTAACTTGTGAGTGTTAGGGTCACCAATGCCTAAATCACTTTTTTGCACATGAAAGTTCTTCATCAGCATTCAGCACTGTGCACCTCTTCAGGTTTTCCCAGGCGGTAATGTTTGGCGACGCAGATGCTTCCAAATTCCTTCCATAGCTCCCTCCCACTCTTCCAGTAGCATCACTGCTGCTTTGGTTTGGACTTTTGTTACCAAAGAGTCTTCTGAACATGCATCTCTCACATGAATATGTATCTCATCTACAACATACTGTGATGTCAGCCTGCAGTGTCCTGGTATTGTGAATATCCTCAAATTGAAGTTTCAAATCTCTCCAGACTGGAAATCTGATCAATTATCCACCCAATAAAGAGAAAGAGTCTTACCTCAGCTTGAATGTTAGATGGTAAAACTGAGGTTTCGTTTTCTGTTACACTGCTGGTCGGACCATTGCTTGGGGAACTGGGACCGGATCCAGGGGAGCTGCTACTGACTGAGGATTCTGAAAAACAGATTAAGCATACATGAATTTCACACTGGAAAGGAACACATCATCTTGATTAATTGTATACTCTTTAAGGCACAGGTTTGGGTTTTTTGCTGTTGAAAAGTATCCATTGGTTATGAACGAGCTATTTACTTACAATAAGTATTTTTACTTCATCCTCCATTTCTTTTGGTTTTTGTTTTACAGTACTAATGAGGAAAGATACTCTTGGTCCTTCCCCTTCTGATCTATCTGCTTCACAAGGGAAGAATTTACTATTTATTTTTCCCACAAAGATGGTATGATACTCAGTATCAGGCAGAGATACAGACATAAAACTCATAATGAGTAAAAAGAAAATAAAGTCTTTTCTTTGTAATTGCAGAGTCCTGCCTCTAAGAGATCAAAACAACAGAGATAGCAGGCTTGCAAAGATCATGATAACGTCATCAATTCATGCAGCCTACTGCCAACCCCTTTCTGTTTAGAAAGGGGATGAGCCCGTTGTGACTAATCATTATATACACAAGTAATAATGGGAAAATATACACCACCTTCACTACATCTTTGGCACAAGTATGAAGGAATATTTACAGCATACAAAAATCTTAAAATAGCATTTGAAAGGCTGTATATTATCTTGATTTAAAATTTCCCAAGTTCTGTCTAAGATAAAGGGGAAGAGGATGATTTTGTTGTGTGTTGCTGTATTGAGTTGTTCTAATCCTACACTGACATGAATTAGGTTTATGTAATGGAAACATTTAACAAGGTTAAAGATGGAAGAGCACAGCATTAGTAGAGATAAGCCTATTTCATGGGACAGCTTTCAAATTAAAGTACTCAAGAAGTTAGAATAATTCATATCTAAATGTGGCAGCAATTATTCTCTAGCCAGTTCTTTGCTTCTTCACTCTTTCTGCCTTAGTTCACACACAGAAATATATCCTCACTTTGACTGAAATTACTTCGAGATTTCCTAGCTGTTTCTTGGACCTGTTGCTCTTTCCTACTAGAGCTGACTTTGATTTACTGAAGTGAATCCATACCCAGCTATACTAACTGGTCAGGTAAAGTTCTTGCATTGTATTCTCACTAGTTTTCATAGAAGAGCAGAAACACAAACTTAATATTCTCAGTTTTTTTAAATATTACAGTAGCACTTTTTGTATAAATAGACATTTAAATAAAGGGTTATTTTCAGTTAAAGCAATTGAAAAAAAAAAGGAGAAAAAGACTTCAGCCAGAAATGTTTGATCAGGGAAGTTTTGATTATGAAAGGTGCAAAATGTCATATAACCGATATTAATAATTATAATGGCAATCTGTAAGGCTCCGAATTATTGTCAGAACTAGGAAGAGAAGGTTTCCGCTCTTTCAACAGCTGCAGAAAGAACTCCTGGGATAAGTATTTCATTGTACATCTTGCCTGTGAGCATACAAAATATGAAGAAAACAGCTAGAACTAAGGAAGTGGAGATCAAGAATCTTGTAAGAGCTTCAGCAAATGGAAATAATAAATCATCTGTAAAAAATTCTAATCTGGAAATAATTTATAGGGAAATTATCTCATTTAGTTACTTTCACACTTACATTCACATCCATGTCCCAGTTTTACACATGACATACTGTGAAAAGTTGTCATGAGAATTGCATGTATGGGGACACGGACATGAATTTTTTCATGTTGTGTTATATTTCCATCTTGGTGTGACATAATTCTGACATACCAAGTGAATTCAGATACATGTCTGACAGACTAGTAACGGTTGCATAAACATATGGCCTGATCGTAACATCAGTTGAACAAGCCATGAAGCTACCAAATATCAATGCAAAGTCAAAGCAAGAAACGTCAGAATGAGGCCAAATACTGTAAATGCTCTTTCAAATCAACAGATAAGGCCTGGGCAGCATACTAATCCTAAGGACTAAAAATAAGAAGACTTTAGGCTGTTTGGGAACTCGGGTGCAACCCTGCAAAATAACATCCATGACAAAATTTACCACTCTGCAATTCCAAACATGTGAAAGAAAGCCTTAGCATCCATGGTTAATCCACCCTGTCACTTTTGAAGTTCAAGGGCAGGAAGAATATTGAAAACAAACACTACTTGATGACAAATTTTTACTTTGCTTTTTTCCCCCTTTTAATCCCACCATATCCATAATTCTGTATTTTTACATGCTAAAAGTTCCCTTTCAATTACTAAGAACACTTACTATCTGCTATGACCAATAATATGCCACTGAATATTTAAATGTTTCAACTCTTTCTTCTCAAAAGACAGCTCGGTGAGCCCTCACATCAAAATCAACTAAACTTGACATTTTCCAACAAGAGAAACCAGAGGGATAGAGCCAAACACAAGACTCCAAAATGTCCTTGATTAATCTAAGTAATACCAGATAGGTGGTTTTGTGCCTGCTATTAGCACCTGCATTTTCCATCAGAGATGGGAAGTGGGAGATGCAAGACCTAAAATGTTGTCCATGTACAAAAGACACAAATTAAGGCAAGAGACTATTCTTGTTTTCTCCTTGATGTCCCTTGCCACCAATAGTCTACTACCTATTTGCTCTTGTAGTTGGTGTTGTAAAGTGCTGGTTTCCAAGCTGGTTTGAAAGTATGGCTCTCAAATTGACAATGACTTTTTGGTAAGTGGTAGAAAGCTGTAGATTAAAAGCTATTTACACACAACTATTTATTTAATATGGTTTTCTTTTCAGCAGCAGAAAAAAAAAAAGATACAATCATTTGTTTAGCAGTTTCAATTCCAAAATACCATCACTATTCTGTAAGCAGTTGCAGCTAATACAGGATTTCTCCATTCTTAATTACCTGTCACCTCGAAGAGTCGCTTCTTGAATGAACTGACAACATTTCCATCCTTCCTCCTGAGTAAAGGACTGCTTCTCCTTTCTGTCACCTTTTGTTTTAACCTTGAACGTACCTTCAAATTGGGCTCTGAAGCTGGAGATGAAGAGAAGAAAATAAATGATTACAAATCAAATTACTGCTTGGTGTCAGACACCACTGACATTCCCTGTAGAACCTCATCTGATCCAAGGAGGGCTCGAGGCAGAGATTTTACTGCCCGTCCTCCCCAGCCATCCCGCTGCTCTTCATACAACTCCATTTTAGATGGAAAGCTAGGAAAGAAGAGAGCTGAAAAGCTTCAGATTATGGTATTTTTTTTTTTCATCCCATTTCAACTCTGAAGTTACCCATTAATTACTGTTAATATCATAAGTATTAGAGATGAATGCGACTTTTATTCTACATCATTTTTATCTCTCTTGTAGGTGAAAACTTGGATGAAAATACAGCTTGGAACTTGGAACCTTATAATTGGATTATGGTCTGATGACAGAAATAGAGAGAAGCCTCGACTGGTGCCTTTTGATTTCTCTTAGAAATATAAATTATGACAAGCCTTGCTGGCAGAACATTTCTTGGTCAGCAATTTTAGGCCCAGAACTTCAATGTTTTCTGGGTAACACACCAAACAACTAGATTTATGACAGTGTCTTAAGAACATTTACACAGAAAAATATATGCTCTGAAAATGAAGAAGTAGAATTGATTCCCAGAAAACCTAGGATTATGTTTAATGCACCTTGGGCAAGTTCCACCTTTGTTTCCTAAATGGACACAGTCTTTTCACATGAAGGCTAGAGATGAAGCCCTGCTGTGCTTTTTATTTTGTGATATTTTTAGCATGATAAAATGTTTCATGTACTCATTTATCTGTTCTTCTAAGTAAACCCTCTATCAAACAGACTGTTAAGAGCTAGTGAAAGATAATTGTGGAATAGAATTTGTTTATATTTCTCTTTCTGGAACTGAGGCTTGGCTAAGCAATATCTCAAAATAGAGAGAGCTGGAAACTGGGATCAGTTCTCTCTCCTATGCACAGACATAAGCCCAGCCCAAAAGAAGGAGTAAGAGTTAGCAGAAAAACAAAATAAATGAAATCTTCATTCAATTCAGCATTATGCCACTTGCCACTTTGGGGCAGGAACTCAATTCTATGCTTCTAACTCCAGTCCCTGCCCAGCATGTAATATGGCAGATTGGTTTCCTTTCCTGCTTTCCCCCTTGTTCACTCAGGGATGGGGACATTAGAAATGCTCACGTGAGTGCAAAGGGGCTGCACGTCAGCCGGAGTGCTGCTGTGGCCTGTGGTACCTGCAGTCGCAGGCCGCCTTTGTCACAGACCGCATCGCTCTCGGCAAGCACTCCCTTCTAAGTGGCCTGTGCCTTGAGCGCATTTCAGACCAAGACACACGGGCTAGCACAACACTAGAAATCTTTAATAATAAAAATATTAACAGGACATTTATTTTTTATCTCTTACTACCATTGTTAAGACCAATGGTTCTAGCAATGGAGTACAGGTGACTTGTTTGCTGTCTAAGATACCACTTGCTATGAAACTGAAAATATAACAATGAGCTAAGATTACTCTACATGCTTTCACCACAGATTTCACCCAGCTACAATAACGTATGGAAGAAAAGGTGCTCACTCCTTTTCCACTTATGGTTATTTTGATTTATACTATTCCCTACTCATAAAATTTAGGAGAACGTTTCCATATCCATGACAGACTAATGTGATACAAATCCTCTGCAACACTCACTGGAGAAATGTTCCACTTCTATATGAATGTTTCATGCTCAGTCACAGCAATTGCCTGTCTATTTTTACCACATTCCCATCATATTCTGCATCTGAATCAATCATATAAGCAGAGAAAGCAGACTGATGTCAATTCCTGAATTTATGAGCCATCTGAGAAGACAGCCCTTGCATGAAAGACAAAGGTAATTTTTAAACGGAAATAATAAATTTAAAAATTAAAAGGCATGGAGAAGAGTGTTTTTTTAAAATTATAAAATAAACTTCCCAATTAAAAAAAAAAGCGCCTAGGTTTAAAGAGCATTTGCTTCAAATGCTGGCTTTCTTGAACGTCTCCCATGAGACACTTCCAACTTCTAACATGGTACCAACTAGGACTCGATGGCTGGCAATAAGAATTCAGGTTTCAGTGCACTAAATATATAAATTTAACCAGTTTGAGGATGTCTGCTCCAATGGACAAAATGCAGAACAGGGAAGTGGTTTCTCGTCTGTCGCTGAGGCATTGACTTGGTGTGTGACTGTAGAGGTCACTGCACTATCCTGCCCCACCAAAGCTGAAGCAGAATTATTGTTGACTGCAACAGGTATGGATCACAACAGCAACCCTATGTGCGTCAGTGCACTCCTACATGAAGGCAGTAGAAACACATTTGTAATTGTCAGCTCTTTTCTGATAGTTTAAAAGACAAAATTAAGTATTTTAAGCTTCAAGGATAGAGCTGTGGATTAAAATTATAAATGTATATACATATATATACACACACAGACTGCCCCAAAGCACATACGTGAGATTATTTAGAAATTATTTTAATCCTTTAACTCTGAAATGCAAACACGTGAACAAAAAGTGAAAATAAATTTTTCAAACATTTTCTTCTTCAATTAAATTGTTCCCCTAGTATTTGCAAGGCACTTGGAAAGCCTTAGTGGCAAATGATGAAGAATTATTATAATTAATCAACCTTATGTTTCAAATGAACATTTGGTTCAATCCTTTAACTAGTGGTTCTCAGAAGTGGTCTATAGAGGGATAATGCTCAATTTAACTGTTTTGCATTAGCCACCCCTGTAAGTATTTCTGCTGCTCATTATTAGCACCTTTGTTCAGCTTAATTAATCCACCGCCAAGATTGACTATGTTCATCACCCAAAGGTAGTCTCAGTGTGGAACAAGAGTGTCACATGGGGAGCCAGTGCTAAATATCTTCTGAAGCTAAAGCTTTACTCACCAGCTTGCAGCACAGTAGCTTCCTCACACAGATGCAAGCCCCTAAGAATTAACCTTTTTTGCTCCATTAATACCACAAAATCATTGAAAAGACCTTCATACAGTCTATTTCTTTATGCGGTGATTCAACCATAAACCAAGAGTCTGACTCAGCAAGACAATTAATGCACATGGGTAACTTTCTGTACACCAAGCATCCCACTGGGGTCCAGGACTCAAAACTAGATTAATTCTACCTCACACAGTATACATCCCATATCTCACCTTCCTGAGGAAACAGGGCCTCTCTAAAGCACTGGAGGTGCTGAATGAGGAGGGGTTTACTGGGTTAGATGCCTGCAACTATAGTGGGCTGAATCATCTGACCAAGAGCCAGAATGCCAGAGACAGGAGAAAAACAAGACGACGTGGCCAAGAGCGTGGCTGATGAGGAAAACAGGACTGCACATTTTCATGGCAGCGGGCTGGTAGGTTGGGCTATTCATCTAAAATCCTGCTAAGAACCAGTATATATATCTGATATTGGTCTAACTGGTCACTATTAGCCTAGCCTCTTTGCTTCGCAAATCTTTGCACATCTACTACATTTAGCACTTTGGAAGAAGTAATAATCAGTTCCCACTTGGAGAAAGGGAAACTATTTCAGAGTGTTTTGTTGCAAAGAAAACAAAAAGACACAGCTATTTTCTCTGAAGACCATCAAAGCCCATGTCATTGATCTCAATGGGAATCAGTTAATACCCACTTGAGCGATTCACTTGAGCGGATTTCAGGAAAGACTAGCCTGAAAATGACTTTGTTTATGTAACTGCAGCATAATTTGGAATAATGAGATGTTGCAGTAATATGGCTTGTTCAGTCTCATTGCTATTAACTGGCTTATTCTCTTTTTAGTGCTGGTAATAATGAACCGGTATTACTTTTTAAATGACTGTTAAGTAGGAAACAGGATTGAAAGACACAGAAAGTAATAGTTTAAACAGCAACGGAAGATATCACAAGCAACCCAGGGATCGGTCACCTAAATCCTTGGCATGACTTGTAATTACCTCTACAGAACTAAGAACTTTGGTCCTAGGTGAAGATGACAGACAGCATCTCAATGATTTTTCTCATCTTTTATGGCAGCTTCATATAGCAGGAAAGAAGTAAGTAACTGTACTGCTAAAAATAGAAAATGTACAGGCCTCTATATAGGTAGACAATAATTTCATCACAACAACCATCATTGCTCAGGTGAAAGAAAACTACTCTCTCCTGTGTAACATGATACTTAAACACAAGCATGAGAGATAGGAATATGATTTGGTGAAGTCATTATGTCCTATACTCCACTTTGCTTAATATTAGCAATTTGCAGATACTAGCATTAAAGAATACAGCCTGGGGCCAGATTGCTCCCAAATGAGCTGAGGCTTTTTTAACAGGGCTTTGCTTCACTGTTTCTTTTCATTACACACACAGAGATATTTAAGAAGAAGGGATAAAAATCCTTTCTACGCATGGGGAGAGGACACATATATGAAGGGAATGTAAAAGATAATAATGCACTACTTTCTGATGGTTCCTGGAACACAGTACTACTTTTGTATCAGAAGAGCGTGTGCCAACTTCAAATCAGCATTTAATGAACCCAGGCAGGAAATGGGGGATGGGAGAGGGTGCATAGCGAGCAGGTCCTCATCTCGAGGCTAAAGCCATATATAGGAAACCTGAAGAACAGAAAGTGAGCTTTTGTCCAGACTTCGAAAGGCTCTGAAGTGAAAGCATTTCCTTTTCCTCACTGGCAGGCTCGCTTAGAAATGCTGTGGGGCAGTTGAGGTAAATGATGCTAAGTTTGGCAACAAAGATTCCAACAACAGCACAAGCAACAACAGCAAAATTCACATCTTACTGGAGAATGATAAATTGTTCCCTATTGCCCAGGCACCAGCTCTTATCCCTAAGATCATTTTGAAACAATAACTTGGACTTCTCTAACATATTTAAGTCAACAGAAACAACCAAGAAACAAAGACTTCATCATCTTGAAGTAAATCTTCACTGGTATTCTCTATTTCTCTAGCTGTCATTTTTTTAAGCTGTGAAGAGTCACATA